GAAAATTGAAATGCAGCTGTCAGCTTTTCTGATGACTGCCAGAAGCAATGGAGGGAATGAAAAATATTTGAGAAAGCTTTGTGCTTTTTTTTTCTAGTTTGAAGAACATTTCCTTATTGGAATATTTTATCCTAATAATCCTAAAGGAAATCCTGTTGATTAAGTTGAGAACATTTGACATGTGAGCCATTCCTGGACTTAGAGGTATTCTTGTGCTGGGAATTGGTAGATGAGGGTTCTACAGCTAATTTTGTACTGGGATTTTTGTTCAATGTTGAACAAAATCTCTGAAAATTTATATAGATATTCACGCTACCTGTAACACTCCTCATTAATTTACTGTCTATTTTTTATCAGATACTTTAATATTACACACCAAACTTGGTGGGATTTGTCTTAGGTGGGTCAGATACTATTAATCTGGGAATTGTTTTAGTTATAACCAAACTATAGAAAATAAAAATTCAGAAAGGTTGTCAACTAGTTGTCACATACATTTACACCCACACCTGCTATGATGCTTTAGGAATCATAAAAAAGGAATGGAAATGTTGGAGTGTTTTTCAAAGAACTACTCTGTATCAAATAGCTCTGTAGAAGCAGTTGAATTTTCTCTCCCAAAGCAGTTTAAACACTGTGTTTGAGCTAAATAGATTTACTGTAAAATTAATGGCGATTTATAGAGAAAACAAAAAAGGTTAATTTGGTGTGTTCCTGGAAGTTCCTTTGAGCTGAGTTCATTTACACTCATGGAAGTAAAACTTTTTATTGAAAGCTTATTGTTTAAATTGCATGTTGTATTTTCATTTTAAAAAAAAGGAAAAAGTAAAAGATTGGAAAATAATAATATATATATATCCTTAAAAGGTAAGCCAAAAATACAAGTGCTGTTTGCCTCAGAGGAAAGTAGTAAGATTATATAAATAATGAATATGATCAGAAGTTGGAGAAAGGAAGAAAAAACAAAAGCTTTATCATTATACAATGATATTAAGTTGCAGGATGTTTTGGTGGGGGGTGGAGGGGTACTGTAAGAGACACAGCTTCTGTGTCTCTTACTCCTCCAGCCTCATTCCTAGATATCTCCTAGCTAGGAGTTGTTCTTCAAAGAATTTTGTCTTCCTTCTCCGGGATTTTACTCAAGTCTCTCTGCCCAGCAGTCTGCTTGCTCACCATTTGTTCTCCTTCTTCTGTCTTCTGGTCCAAGTGGTTTGGGTTTCAATCTGTGTTTTCCCTACACTTACCCAGTTTCTTTTTCATTCCTCAAGCTCCTCTTCCTCCCAGTCTGTTCCCTGAAGGACAGGTGCTCTCCCTGGATATTTGAGTTTGAGAGCTGCCTCTTGCTCTTGCTTGGACTTAGTAAGGAAAGTATTGAAATAGCAGCAAAGACCTCTTGCCTTAGTTCAGATTGTTCAACTCAGATTTGGCACTGAGCTGTAATCTGAGCTGAAAGACCTTCTCAGGCCCCTGGAGCATGTCCAGTACAGACAGAAAGGCTGGGAAATACAAGCCCAGGAAGTGCTGGCTGTGCACAGACCACAAGGCTTGAAGTTGGACTTTTTTGAGTGGCTTTTCATTGAGAGAGTGAAAGGCACAAGATCTCTGCCAACTTGGCAAGTCCTTATTCTAAAGCATGGGACTTTTTAAAGAAAGGTCTTCAGAATCTTTTGCTTTCTAAGCAAATGCTATTTCCCATTGCCTTTTTCTCAGGAACAGCTGCAGTATTCTGACTGAAATTTTCCAGGAAATTTAGGCTAGGGGAGACACATCACCCAGATGATTACAGCTTCCTCAATGGTGCAAGTGATTGAGAACAGGGTCTTCACTAGGGACACAGCATCAACCTTAACTGAAATCTGTTCTGTCAGGGAAAATTTTTTCTATTTTTCTCTGCAGGTGTTTATTTCCTAATTTCTTCTACTTTTAGTACCTGTTCCTTAAAGCTTGTTATTTGCTTCATGTTTCAGTAAGCAAGCAGTGACATGAAAAACACTTGACAGTCAAGTCTCTTACAGTTCCATTTGAAACCCAGCAGAGGAAACTTAGTTATCAGAGTCTTTTCAAGCAAAAATTATTATTATCTGGGAGGAGCTCAACTTGATTATTAGATTGCCAAGCTTTGTGCAAAACTGTTTACATTTGCAAGCCAGCAAAATTTATGTGGAACGCTGTGCTATATAACCAAGAATTGCATTTTCCCCAGTGTCTTTCAAGATAGAATTTTTCCTGTTGTCTTTATTTAATTAAAAGCTAAATGACTGTCATTATTTATCAGTAATTTTAGAATATGTTAAAGGTTATATTTGAGATGATTTTTTTAATTTGAATTTTTAGGTTTGTTTGTAGTACCTTTGTTCAGAATTGCTGCTTTCATGCTGGGAACACTCGAAATCACTCCTAGATACAGTTGCATTGAAAACATGTATGTATGCATGTTTAAATTAGCATGTTTGTTTCTATTGTAATGAACACAACTGAGTACAGCAAGCTGGTGTGGCATGTGCTGTTCCACAGGTGGCTGCACAAAACAGTCAGTGCTCCATTACCTGTGTGAAATATCTGGAACACTTATGGAAAGAGATTAAGTACAATAAGTTTCTAAATCCCAGTTATAAAGTTTTGGGTTTTTTTCTATATAACCTGCTTTGTATTTCCCTGCACTTGGAATAGCAAGAAAACCAGAGTAAGCACAAAGACTTTGGAGGCACAAGAAAGACTGAAAAATCCTTCATGTAAAAAAACACAAATTGAAGATTTGGCAATGGGGGTACATGGGCATCTGTTCCTGGACACAGCCTTGTGTTTCGGTGGGGCTGACAGTGAGTGAGTTTGGTAATGCTTCTGGTCTGCACTTTGTGTTGAGCCACCTAAAGAGGACCTGGCACTGATTGACACAATGTTTAACTGAGACATAGAGGAATGAGAGGATGTGGACGCTGACTGACTTCCCCATAGGGTCCATATCCTTGAGCTTTTTGGTGGGTTTATGTATTGAAGACAATGCACAAACTTTGTCTATTCTGTACTCCCTGTGTACCTAAATGAAGTGTTTTGTCCTCCAGAATTATTACTAAAAGTTTGTTCCTCCGCTTATTAGTTGTTACCTCATGAGAGGATCTGCTTTGTCCTGTCTTCATACTGGGTTTTCCTATTATCAAAATGCACCCTAACACCATTATACATGGAAGATAGAGACTGAAAATGTGGTTTTTCTATTATAATTTTTTCAACTTTATAGTGTGGTTTTCTAAAAGGATGAAGATATTTGGTGACATTTACTGTATGTGGAAGAAGCTGGAACTGGTCAAAGATATTAACAGATGATGGGGAGTTAATGCATCATAAACTTCTTAATAATTTAAAGTTTATCATTTTGGGGAAGTCTATCATATAATTTAATGTTGTGATGGCACCAACAGTTAAAATGCTTCAGTTCTTATTATTAAATTGTTAGAGCTTTAATAGCAAGTGGCTGTGATGACAATTTCCAGATCTCCTGGGGAAGTATGGTATGATTCAGGAATGTCTGTCACCCAGAGCATCTTACTTGTGCTATGGATATTTTTTTCTGAGTAGTAACACTTGTCTGGGATAGCTATGTGAATTACCCCTTAAGAAAAGACATAAAATATTTCTGTAATTTATTTGCAATTACTTGTACTAAAACATTTATTGCAGCATTTGCTATTTCAAAGGCACTAAATGGAAATATCTAGGAAAAAAGTCATTAGTCACAAAAACTATTTTTGAAGATGTTTATGGTCAGTCAATATTTTTTTCCTAAACCATTTACATTAGAAATGAGTACATGCCTGGAAGATAAAATGTTGTGTAAATTCATGACTTCACTTAGCTGGCAGTGGAAAAAGGAGCGTGCAAAGTTTGTAGCATCCCTCCTGCCTCCATTGGGAACTGCTTCTCCATACTGAGTTTTTCATTCTGGACTCATAACTCTGAACGTCCAGACTGATTCTTTGGTTTGGAACTGCCAGCTGATGGGCAGGGGGAAGGGAGTTAATCCATCCATATGCAATATCAAATAACATCCCAAGATGTCCCCTCATAACATTTTGCTTAAATGCCACAATATTCTAAACAGTGGCCTGAAAAGTGTGCTGAAATGGAGCCTTCTGCAACTTTGCAGACATCTATTAATGGTTACTGCTGATAAATGACAGTGAAAAAACAGCTTGATGCAACTTTTGCTTAGTGTAATACATTCTAAGATCTGCTGCTTCCTCAGATAAAGGTTTTTTTTCTGTGTTTGTGTGCTTTGAGCTGAGTACAGGCACTCCTGTACTGCTCTGAAATGGCTGTTTATGGTTTGTGCAGGACAGGAAGGCCTTTTATCCTGGGCTATGAGCTCATGGGCAAGGCCCTCGAAAAACAAATTTTCAGTTTGTTTGTGACATGAGAAACTTTCCTGGGTGTGTTCATACCCTGATATACCCAACAAGATAAATTTCTTTTTTTTTACTGAGAGATAAACACCTTCACCTGCTCATGAGATGCAAACATGCACAATTACCATAGAATAAGTGATGCAAATTAGTTTTCTCTTTAGCAAAGTGTGTATGTGTCTATTGTCTCTCTGATACAATTGCTTCAGAATGTAGTACTATCAGGCAATTATGGAACTAATATGGGAAAGAAAAGTTTCTCTTTAATCTTTATTAAATGGTATTTATACAACAAAGGGATATCAGGTCTAGATTTATTTTTGTAATGGTTTAAAGCATGAGGATGCATGCTTTTTATTCAGTTCTTACTAATAAACTTGTGTTTCTCCTCATTATCCGTAGATGTCTAACCTGTCTAATGGCTGGTATGAATAACTGAAAGAAGAAAATGAAGAATTTGCTTTCTGTGTTCTTTCATGCTGATGAAACTCAATGAAATGAACATTCACTTAAGCAAAATACAAAATAAGGAGTAAATTTTTGGAAGTTCAAATGTACTTAAAAATTCAAATCCTTTATTTTACTTTTTTCTTTTTGCAGTATTTGCCATCTCTCTTAGAAATCCAAAGAGAACATATTGGTTATCAGGAAATGGATGAATCCGTATCCTCCAGAGGCAGAGTTCAGCTGGGGAAAAATGTCAAGATACGGAGAACAGATATCAATGAACACAAACAATACTGCTGTGAGAAGAGAGCTGGGACTACTCAAGGCTCACATGAATTCCTACAGTAAGTACAGCTTGAAGGTTAAAGGGGCTCCTTGGGGCAGAAAAATCTTTGAATAGTATATTTTTAAACAAAATCATTTTTATAAGTGTTCAATCTGAATCTTAAGGCCAACTTGATCTGTATAAAATTCAGCCAGAGGATATTCTAGAAAGTTCAAAGTGAGGCTTAATGCAATTGCACCTTGATGCAGAAACCTTTGGTATTTTTGTGGCTTATCAATATATTAAATAAAATCATTAGGGAGGAAATAAACAGTGTGAATTGTGAAATTATTTGTTATTTGGCAATACTAAAAAGCAGATGTGAAACACATGGCTGAGACATATTATGCAGAGTTTTTGGGGGAATTTTTAAATTTAAATAAAAACACATTCAACTTTTTTTTGTGAAGGTCAGATATTTGAAGAAATACAAGTATGGGACATTTTCTTTGGAACAAATAATACATTTAAAAATAAAAATTCTACTTAGAAATGTTAGAAATTAGTTCAGAATTGTTTTGATATTTCCTTCTTTTTGTTTTGGCTGGACCACTGATTTTTCAGTCAAATCACTGTCCAATGAGTGGGGTTTTTTTACAAATTGGTTAAAGTCTGAATGAGATTTATTTTTACAGTTAGGCCTATGAATCTTTATGATGTGAGCTCAAGTTCCAGCAGCTAAACATTATTTCAGTTTTTGTTGATTGGCATATGAGGGGCAGGTATCCCGCTTATAATAAAAGTTTAAAAAAAATTTCCTGCTTACAGATCTCAGTTTCAGTTTGAAAAGCAGTGGCCTGTGACTTTTTACTCAGTAAGTGATTTAACCCAAATTTGTGGTGCATGTTCTTTTAAACTTCTATTTATTTTAAATCTCCAGAGTCACAAAACATCTGTTTTCAGCCACTTGAACACAGTGAATTCTCTGTGTTCTCTTTAACCATTTTTCATCAGGGCTGCTGTGATATCAAATCAGTGAGAACTCAATAAGGTGTGATAATATGTGAGAAAGTCACTGAGAGTAGAAAGTGCCAGATTAGTTGATTTCTTGCAGTATTTTGTGTGACAACTGTGATTTGAAGGTCTAAAGGAATATTTGTTTTCCATCAGGTGCTCATGTTTTATTTGTTTCCTATGTGATATCTGTTTGGTTTTAATAATCTATTTGCATCTGTTATAATGTGATTATGTATTCAGGACCTCAGGATAAACCAGTAATTATCCTAAAGGTGTCATTGACACTGCACTGTTACGTGTACCCGAGACCTGCTATGGTAGGCACAGTGGATCATCTGCTGCCCTTTTTATTAAAGAACCTCAGGCTTTTGTATTGGTTTTTTAACAGTCATATATGTTTGGAAAACCCTTTTTGCCTCATGGATAGTATTATGTTCTGCATTGTTATCTCCATCTTTTAATTATATCTCCTATGTGTGCTCTCCCATGCAACCGCAGCACTGCTCCTGCTTTAGACTCCCCTAGTGTACAAACATAGGAAGATGCTTTTGGAAGGCAGTTACACCTTAGGATGTCCATTAGCATTTCCCAAAGCAATTTGTGTCCTTTCTTGTGTGACAGAGATATCGATCAAATGCCTGGTGAGTCAAATGGTCGCAGCTTAATCATGTAAACTTGTGCATTGAGGATTCTATTGCTGGGAGTCAGTGCTGTAATATTTCTCTACCCCTGACACAGAAATCAGTCGTGATTTCTGTCTGTCTTCCAGCTGATTTTTCCAAGCTCTGTGCCATAGAACAATATATAATTATGGAATTCTTAAGAGATTTTGTTGCTGTATTTTTTCTGGCTGCTGTAGCTACTGTAGCCTGTACAGATTTGCCTTTCCCATCTTTTCTGTTAGCTGTTCTAAGAAGGGAGAAAACCTTCCTGCTGCTAAGCATGTTATCTGCAGAGTCAATCTATCTGTAGAGTTCTGAGAAAAAGTCAAATGACAATATGTCATCTTTGCAGTTCTGGAGAAATTATCCCACATTACCTTGGCAGTGGTAATAGTTTACAACGTTCATGGGCTGTAATGGGCTGTTTGCCTAAAAGGGCTTTGACAGTTTTGCTGAACTTAACATGTACTCAGCTAAGGGATGATCTTTCTTCACTACATCACTTGCAGTTTGAATAGGTCACATTTTGATAAGATGTGTTTGATTTACTGTGAAACTTCTGTATAAAACCTCCTTTTTGCTTACATATTTCTCAAAAGATTCACTGTATTATTCTGAGAGCAAATACCTAATTATTTGCTGCCGAAAGCCATGTAAGAACACCTCTCTATTTCTGAAATCGTTTGGTGATATCTGCCACAGTTTACATTCAAAATGAATAATGCAATGGAAAGTGATTTCATTTTGTGGGTTTGTTGAGCTGGAGTCTAGCTTTGTCATAAGGAAAAAAAAAAAAAAAAAAAAAGTCAGAGCCTGGTGGAGGAGGTGTGTGTTGGGGAGCTGTTTCCAAGGGCTTCTTTGACTCCATTATATCCAGGTGCGGAACTGAGCATTTGCTGATGCCATTGATATCAGGTCAAACTTTGCAGGTACTTCTAAACCTTTCAAACACAGGCCTCCTGAGAGAGTGCCTCTGAAATAGTTTCTTCTTACAATGATATTTCTTCCAATTACATATAGCAGAAGATAATATTTAGAAGAAAAAAAACCTGCTGCCCTGATGGATGGAACTTGCCTGTGCTCTTCTAACCAGTATCACCAGATATGATATGTAGGACTGCCAGGAAGAACTGTCTTTGGTCTGCACTGCAGAATGGTCTGGGCTTTTCTGCAGGATTTGGATGCCTCTTACAGTTGTGTTCAGAGAGGAAGTGTTGGTTATGACAGGGCAGGCCAGCACAATGAGGTGATGAAACATCAGCACTGTAATGGCTGTGATTTTAACACCTCTACCAGGACACTTGTATAGAGTTTAAGGCCTATAAAATTTTGTGTAAAGAAAAAAGACAAAATGAAGAAAATATGTTTAAGAGCATCTACTGTCATGTAAAATTTCTCCTGTGGTGGATATAAGGTTAATATAAGGCTCTTCACACATAAGCATTTGAAGCAAAGTTGTCTGAAGCTGTCATGACAACACTAAGCTCAGAATAGCTCATTTTTTTGCCATTTGGAAGATGATCTTAACTGAGTGCCACCATACTAGGAACATGAATGATGAAAAATAATGCTGTGTGAACATACTGCACAAGAGAAGGTAATAAGTATTGTTATGCTTAAGGAAACTGTTTCTCTGAGTTGGAATCTAAAGCCCATGCATAGCACTTTGGCTGTGTCTTTGGCAATCCTCCAGCTGGCAAAGCTACTTGTGAATTGTAGCTCTTTGTTTTTAAATTATATAAAGTCCATATCCCAACTACTCTGTCTGCAAGCAGAGCAGTTGAGCAGATCAGCCCCATTGTCTGAGCATCTGAGAATGCCCATAAAGTATTGTAAGAAAATGATGATAATTCTGTTCCACCTGTTGTTTGGCTCTTACAGGGGGATTTTCTTAGACTGGGCCTTCAGCCATCCATGCTTATGTTTGAGAAATGGTAACAGACATTCTGTTTATCACTTGTGATAGTTGCCCATATGCCATGTGTGAGGTATCTGGTGGAAGCATCCTTACTTCTCTGTATCATAGCAAGACACACCGTGAATTTCAACCTGGCTGAATTTAGAACCCACAGAGTATATTCATTTGGCCAGAGGGCATCCCATTAAGTGGCATAAGGAAAGTCTCTTTCAATTGCTAAAGACCTTTCTTGCAGTAATCCCTGCTGCTCCTGGGAATTGGATTTGGGAAGTTAAACCAAACCTTTTTCTGGCAGCTCTGTGACAGTGCCTCCAGGGCTGCTAATGTATTAGGGAAAAATTCTGCCAAGCTTTCTACAATGTAACATTTTTGTTCATAAATATGGCAGCTGGTTTTAATGACACTTGTGAGATATTGATGCAGAAAGTCAGGGTGGCATAATCTTTGTTCATGGGTGGCAGCTCATGAACAGCTTTAATTCCAGCTGCTTAGAAAGGAACAAGAAACATCTGAAGTTAGACATAAATCAGAAAGTTTTTGCAGTTAAATGAAACAACTGACTTTCCCTTCCACTTCCATGACATTCCTAGTGATCTGATATTTGCTATACCAGGCAGATCATCCCTGTGAGCTGATGATTCTTTATCTGTATGTCCATTCACAGTCGTGCACCTGTTTCAGTCTCGGACACAACTAGTGTTGATATTTTCTCTTGATGGGCTGTTTTATTCACTATCAGTCTAGTACTTCCATAGTAATCAGGAGTCTCAGTGAGAGATGACTTAGCTGTTCCTTGATAAATAAGTAGTAAAGAACACATCAGCTGCTGGCATCTTGCTTTATCCTGTTGAATCATATAGGGAAAATTTTAAATGTAGCAAACATTAATTAACACGTGTCTTTCCTGGGTTTATTATCCATCTCAACTTCCATAATGGGGCTGCATCTGAGTGAATGGAATATTTCCATTCTGAAAATGACTAGTGAGATTCATGTGTTTGATTTCATTCCCTCTGTGTCTGCCTCTGCTCACCATTCTTTCATAACAAAGCTGTCCCCAGCTTGCTTTTCAGTGTTTCAGATCACATAAAGGTGCTGACATTCAACACAGAGATAGTACATTTGTTTATTTTTCAGTTTACTGAATGCATCTCCCAACATAAATTTCAGTAGGTGAAAAAGATAACAGAGAATATTGAGCATAACAGGAACCGTTACAGCAAGTGAGTTCACACAATCACTTGTGCCACAGCTAATGGGATGCCCTTGCAGATATGCTGACAAAAGGGCTGTTTTAAGTCCTGCCCCAGTTGTGCTACCACAAGCCCTGCTGACTGCAGGGTGATGGCCTCCAAACTCTGCAGGCAAATGCTCAAAGGGCAAGGGCAAACCACAGTTACCTACTGCAGGGACTTGCAGCTGCAGCCATTGATTTCCTGGTGCACAAATGAGAAATGACATCAGATGAGCTTTGTGCTGGAG